ACTGGGCGGTGGTAAGAAGGGATGCAACTCGGGTGGGGCAAGTACTAACAGTTAGGCCGGGGCAAGTGTTGGTAAACCTGTTTTATCGAACACAGTTGAATCACTTGATCAGGGGGGTGCCAGATGAAGTCTTCTGGATTGACGTCAGGATACTTCACAGAATAAGAGTCCTAAGTGAAAATGAACCTTGGGTGGCATTCTGGCCGAAGGTGCCAATTCAGGATCTTCCCTTGGATATGGCGGAGTGGAGATGGAATATTCCAACAAGGAACGAAAGACCCAGATACCGGTACCTCCATACAGTAGATGTTAAAACGACCTACCGGATGCTCAGGATTAGAATAAAACTAAGAAATTGTATTGTTGATCGCTGGGTACGACACCTCAATATACCATTGGAATCCCCGAGACCTATAAAATGGTTTAAAGAGGTGAAGAACAAACCAACCAAGTCTGCTTCGCTTCAATGGCAGATTAGTCACCGCGGCCTACCGACGAATGCATGGCTCAATGACCATACCCACCTGAAGCAGAAAGGGTTGGCTCTCCCCTGGTGTCACGCATGCAAGGAGGGCTTCCCCTCTCGAAAGATAAACGAGACGATAGAGCACCTCTTCCTGCAGTGCCCTGCCTCTATCCTTACATGGCGGGGATGGGTCCGGGTCTTGAACCAAGTAGGCACAGATAGAGACTGGCCGTGGGAATGGAGGGCCCTGCTAACTGGTCACTGGACTGCCCAATCCTCGACCTTCACAACCAATTTATTTAGGATTGGGAGGGAAGCAGTGCTATGGGTCATATGGCGTCGCAGATGCATTCTAGCACTTGAAAACGCCCACGTTGGAAGTGGTGAAACAACTGAAACGATTAAAGACATGATTGAAACAGCAATTAGAGCTTTGTGGAAAAAGACGGTACAAGGGATGAGAGCTCTCACAAAAAGATCAAACATTATTCGAAAACTAAATGAATTTTGCATGGACTGGTTGGGGGGAGAACAGGGGGGACGAATTGCATGGATTCAATGGGATGGCTGGCTCTTGGATGGCAATCATCATTTGGATAAATCACAAAAGGACTCTCGGTTGCTCTTCCATAAATGGACTGAAATCCCCAGCGACATCCCACTCTTTCCGGTCGCTGAGTTCCCTGATTTTTTCCCCCCATCAAACAATACCTTAGTCTAGCTGAGCTGGTATGGCCGAGATACTGTGGAGCCCGCCCATCACAATCCTGGTGGGACCTGTCAGGATAGAGAAAGGGAATAGGAGGATTAGGTGTCTGTCCCAGTTGCCCCCTGGACGCAGAACCTGCCTCCCTATCCCCCCTCACACCTGGCCGATCCACATGAGATATGGTTGGGAGGATAGGCCCCCGTATCTACAATACTTACTGGAAAAAAGGGGGAGGGACTAACATGTAGATGTGTATCTGGCGCCGGATTCAAGGTGAAGAGGTCCCCCCCCCCTCCAATATCCTGCTCAGTCAATCCCCTGTATCCAAGGGTAATCAATGCTGGCAGGAATCCCACAATGGTGTGTCGGATGTACTCCAATCTCAGTCTGTGTAAGGGACGCTGGACCCATTTTCCAGCAGGTGATGCTCCCCACCAATAGATGGAGCCTTTCCCCAAGTGCTAGTGGTGCCTGCTCTTATCAGCACCACTAACACTGGTCACAAATGGTTAACAGGTACCCTCACTTTTCACCCCTAGGGTAAGCTTCACCACCCTGAAACAGATGGTGTAAAGTATGGTTAAAATGGCCCTTTGGTTTTCTTATTAATGAGGGTGAAAATTGGGGGGTCGGTTAACCTTCTCTCACACTGGTGGGAGTTTTTGAAAAAAAAAGAAAAAAAAAGTTGTTGGACACGTGGCTCCTGGAATTGCATTACACTTGATTGATTGACTTCCGATCGTCTTCCTTATCATCCTCCGTTGGAGTTGGATTGTCGTCGGGGGTTGATCAGTCAATGTAATGGTCCGCCTTTCAAGTAATTTCGTACCATGCCACGTGTGCGTCCTTCTATCCAACGGTTCGGTGTCGTGGATTGCACCCGGTTGACAAGAAGAGAGAGGGAGAAGGTTGCGTGTGCGCCTACTCCCAGACTTGGCCCCTCGCCGCTGAGTTGATTGATTGGCTGCTCGATTGGTAGTTGGTGGATCGCTTGTTAGTTTAATCTCTTGTTTGATTGATAAATCATCATGTCTCAGCTGAGCTATCATAACCCGCACGGAGGGCACAAGGAGGCGGATGGAGCTGCTTCCGTCGGGGGCGCATATGCCCCATCCTTCCCCCCCCCCCCACCCTGCCCCAGGAACACCAATGTATGGCAGTCTGCAGTCCACCTCCTCCGCCTTCAGGATTTCCCCCTCACCTTCAGTACTTGCAACAACTGTCGCCCCCCCCTCCTGGGCATCCTCCTCTGCTGCTGTACACGGGTATGTCGGGACTTCCCGCTCCACCAGGCGCTCCTCCTCTTCCTCCTCCTCCAATGACTCAACCTCCACTTCCCCCCTACACCTCCGCCGACCCCTCCTCCCTTGCCTGCCCCCCCCAAGGGTGTCCCCGCCCCTGCCACCTCAGATGATGAAACCTCCCCTACTCCCACCAACGACGCCACCTCCTCCTCCCCCTCCTCCCCCCTCTCCTCCGCCATTTCCTCCCGGTCAGGAGTACATCCCGCCAACTGCCCCCTTGAGCGCTCCTCCGCCATCTGCTGGCAATCTCCAGTACATGGTGACAGCGGCTGCAGCATCGATGCTCTCCGCACCCAACGCTCCTCTGCAGCTCGCACCTTCCAGTCACCCTCCATCGGTGCTGCCGCCCCCGCCTACCGCTGCTCCCGAAGCAAGCACAATTGCCCCCGCAAGCGTAGGGTAGACCGCTGATGCCAGCGAGATCGGCGCTTTCGGCCCTGCACCGGCGACCACGGCAGACGCATCTGCTGTCGCCACTGCAAGTGTGCAGGTAATCAGCAGAGTTGTCGGCTCCCTCCATGGCGGTTGAGTTAGTCTTCATACAAGCAGCATGGGGGGAGGGGGGGCGCTGTACATGCCTAGCACAGCTACTGCAGGCAATCAACACGACAACACATGGGTGGTCCCGGTGGCACAGGAGGTTATGGCGGCGAGGAAGGGCAAGGGACTGCTGCTGCTGCTCTTCCTGCCTCTGCCTCTGCAGCACCACACTGCAGGAGTTGGAGGGGAGGGGGGAAGGGGAGCAGCAGCAGCAATGGGAACGACAACAGCGGCGGCGGCTGCCAAACCCCCGCCGCCACCCGGTACCTATCTTCCCCCACCATCAACAAGCAGGAGAAGACAAGAGACGGAAGCAGAGAGGGCGGCGAGAAAGGAGATGGAGTATGAGAAGTGCAAGGAGGAAAGAACGAAGGCCGAATACGCAAAAAATCATCATCATCCATGACGGTCAATGGGCCTACGCTTCTCAAGGGGGTGGGTTGATGTTTCAAGGGTTGCAGGATTTCAAGTCGTATTCGGCACACCAGGTGAAGAAGGCGGTGATAACTGGGTACCTGCACAGGATTTGGGATCACATGCTGTTCAAACAGGACGCTGGACCCACGCTCCTAGCCCTGAAAATTGAGTTGCGAAAAAAAGGCTTCCCTGCGGAATTCTTCGATTCCAGGTTGAGGCTGTTCTCCCGACTCAAAGACGGGGCATGGGACGACTGGGTCATCACGGTGGTGCTGCGCAAAAGGGGCAAGGCCTGGACCAAAATGGGCGGGGTGAAAACGAGTGCGGTAGCAGTTCACACTGGCGGGAAGTAGAATTACAAATTTCAAATTTCTAGTGAGAAATTGAGAATGCAACTGGGTCGTAGTGAGCGAGGTGGATGAGCGCGAACAAGCAAGAGAGCAGTGGCGGGAAGTAAAATTACAAATTTTGATCCTCTAGGAAGAAGTGAGAATATTTAAGGACGGTAGGAGTAGGAGGTTCTCACCTTTCGAGGAGCTCCTAAGGAGACTGGCACTGGCAACGGCACAAATGCGTCGGGCGTTTTGCCATGATGCGAGGAGTAGGATGCTGCTTTGAGCATCATCTTGAGCTTCACCTTTCTATCTTCCGAGTATTCGAAAGGACTGAGTTTTTCTCTCTCTATTTCCGTCCTGTCATGCCGCGTGTGGATGTCGTGAGCAGGCAACAGTTTGTCGAACTGATGTGTGGGGCGGACAAGTCCTATGTTGGTGTATGTGGTGCAAGGTGTGTTGCCGGAGCCCTTGGATGTGGTGGGTTGTGTAATTTGAGTCGCTAGTATAATCTGCGCAATGTTTGGTCTAAATCGTTCGTTTCATTGTATGCGGTGCGTTGTGTAATCTGAGTTGTTAGAGAAGTTGTGCTTAACTCCAGTCTACACCCATCTGCACGCCTCCGCGCGCACAAGGCTTGAACACGTGTCCTCACGACTGTTCAGGCGTCATCGGCGTCAGCAGCAGCAGCAGCAGCAACACTACAGTCATCATCATCATCATCGCCATCATCTACAGCAGGGGCACATGTCCCATCAAAAGCCCTCCCTATCAGTAGCAGGAGGAGGAGGAGGAGGAGGAGGAGGATCATCTGCAACTCAACAAGACAGACACCGAGCAAGCATGAGCAGCAGCGGACAGTCGTGACTGCTGGCTCTGCCATCCACAGCAGGAGGAGGAGGGGGAGAAGCCGGAGCTCTAACCACAATACCGGAAGGGACTGTAGCAGAAGGGAGTGTAGCAGTTGTGGAGATTGGGGGGGAGTAGGAGTAGGAGAAGCCATAGGAGCAGAAGCAGCAGCAGGAGTTGTTCACAAGTCGTTAGAGAGGCAAAGTAGAGATGGTCATTCCCGCGAGCGTTATCGAAGTGGAGGAAGCCGCCATGCCGATCATCACCATCAATATCGTCATCGGCACTACCAAGTTACCAACACCGGCACAGGGAGAAGGGGGTTGCTCCTTAGTGTCACCTACTCTTGAACCCATAATGGAGAATCGGTTAAAGCACAGTCTACCTTCATTTGCAAGGTCCACTTCCATAACAAATTGTAGGAGCCCATCTCGCACCCAAGCTGCTTCACGTGGCAATGGGAAGGGACAGGTACACAAAGTACCACGTGACGTCCTTAGAGAGGAGGTACAACCATAGGCTGGTAGCGGAGCTGGACCTCGGGATACCGTTGGACCTGCTTTATCTGGCTCTTATAATCCACCATGTCTGCCGCAGGAGATGGACCCCGAGACACCGAGCTGATCAGAGACGACATGCCAGCCTGCTCGTCCGCCATCGTGGTGAAGGAGCGGCGGAGCGCTCTGTGGACAAGGGGATGAATGGGTTAGTGAAGACGCAGTGCATATTGCAGGTGGGACCCGAACCCATGAGGGTAACGGTGACACAGAGAGAGGCGGAGCAGAAGAGGATGTTGAAGGAAGGTATCATGGCGTACATCAAGGCGCACACGAGCATGGAGAAGCAGATTCGCGCGATAGAGGAATCGTTTGAGAAGGTGAAGACGAAACTTGTGCATCATACGAAGCCGGAGATGGAGGCGGAAGAGATATGGCCGCTCTTGCTGCACAAGTGGTTAACAAGGAACCCCACTTACTGGCCGCTGAATAAGATGAAGGTAACCCTACAAACGAAGAATGAGAAGGAAGGGAGGACGATGGAGAAGGAGGAGAAGAATGAGATACCCATTCCGTCTAAAATCACTGTGAAGAGACCCAGAGTGAGGTACGAGGACGAGGAGCAGAGGAGGCAGCTGATAGAGGATAGCACGAAGATAGCGCAGGAGGGGCCAGCAGCTTTCGCATCGATCGAGCGGGAGGAGGAGGAGGAAGAAGAAGAGGAGGAGGACGAGGAACTCTTGAGACCTTTTGCGAGGCACGAGGAGGAGGAGAATAGGAGTGGGGAAGCAAGGGAGTTGGAGGAGGAGGAGCAGGGGGAGGAGAGGAGGGGGAATGGCGAGGAGCGCATGGAAGCAAAGGGAGGACCGGAGGAGAGAATGCGAGAGGAGGTTGAGGAGATGGAGGGATACAAGGAGGAGAGCAGGAGAAGGAGGAGAGAAGAGGGGGATGGAGACGAGGAGGAAGAAGGCTCGGTCAAAAGGGAGCCGCCTAAATATGAGGAGGAAGGCGAACCGACTGGCAGAGAACGGGACGAAGAACACAAAGAGATGGCGGAAGGCGAGGAGAGAGAGGAGGGAGAGGATGATCATGAAGGCTATGGTGAGCATGAAGGTGATGAAAGACAATGGGGGCAAAGGTGAAGGTAGCAACAGCCCGCACGAGAGGGAGAATAGAGAAGATATAGAAGAGGAAAAGGAAGAGCAGGAAGAAGTGCAAGAAGTGGCAGGAAGAAGTGCAAGAAGAACTGCAGGAAGAAGTGCAGGAAGAAGTGCAAGAAGAAGTGCAGGAAGAAGTGCAGGAAGAGGAGGAGGAGGAGGAGGCAGAGATCTTTCGGGGTCGTTTGCGTTCTGCTACCCCTGATGGCTCACAAGACTACAGCGATATGGGCACACGTAGCTTCGGCTAAGACCAAGCCTGGGTTTGATTGGGGGGAGAGGGGGGGGGGGGGGGCGTGGGGAGGAGGGGGGGGGGATGGTAGAAATGCGGGTAGATCCAATAAACAGACGAGTCGGCCTGCCTCATAGGTGAAGTGTTTGTGTGTGAGAGAGAGAGAGAGGGGTGGTTTCTTTGGGACGTTGGTGTTTTTGGGTGGACTACATATCCCTTTAATAATTTCACATAGTCAGTTCCAAAGGTCCCGGTCCCAGTTAATCTAGTAGTCAAGTCCCTAAAGTTCAATTTTGCAGCAGCCTCCCAACGAAAGTTGGGAACTTTCCCAAAATGGCAATATGGAAAAGGCATAGGGCGCAGGAGGCTGGTACCGATTGAAGCAGGCATAAAACAACCCAATGCAACTACATATTTTGGGCTACAATGTCGGAAGGCATTCAGTTGTTTATTTCGCATAATTGTGGAAGCGCTACAAGAGCTTGTGCGATCAAGCGATCGGGAGCGCAAGGGGGAGAAGTGTGTAGCGCCTGGCTGCTATAGTCAGCCATAGCCAGGCGAGAGGGGATAGGTTCCCCGGTGGCCATAACCGCTCGAGATCAGGAAGGCACACCGTAGTAGCATTCAGGTTAGATCTAGGATGTCAAGGGAGGGACAGTGAGCGAGGAATAGTGCAAGAGAGAAAGAGAGAGAAGTAGACCATCGACAAAGATGCAAAGAAAGAGAGAGAAGAGAAGCAGCCGAGGGAGGAGGAAGTTGGGTACATACCCGAGGCGTGTTGCAGCGGTTGAAACCGCTTACTCTCGATCTTTTTCAATTGTATTATTATTGCTTTTTGTGGAACTTCTAATTTGCATTGTTCATGGACATGACTCAAGCTTGCGTGAACTTCATCTGATTGCTCTCAATTTGCATGTTGTATTCTAAGTTGAATCTTGTGAGGTTCATTGCACCGGTATCGGAGCTTGAACCCGTTGCACTACGGTGGTGGAAAAAAAGTCGGCAAAGCATAAGGCCGGTGGGCGAGAAAAGTATCGCGGTTTGACTGTTGATGGCGAGAAGAAGGAAAAATGGTGCTAAATCAAGGTTGGAGAAGCAAGCCAGTAGGAGGAGCAAACGGAGGTGAAGGACTAGATAGGGTTGCTGGCCGAGGCTGCACTCTAGGCCATTAGAGAGTCCACTTCATTGTGTATGCCCACCAACCATCTAGCTGACCAGCATAAAGAGTTCAAAGGTAAGTGGAATAACTTCACTACCGCTATGCTGCACAACATCAACAGCAAGATCAACACCGCTATTTTCAATGTCGAAGGTTGGGTGACGGAGCATTGCATGATAAAGGGCGTTGGTGGAGGTAGTGGCCCCCCTAATGGTGGAGATGAGGACGATGAGGACAAGAAGAAGGGAAGAAGACTAGGGAAGGAGAGAAAGGAGTCAGATGACGAAGAGGCCAGGAAGAAGATTAAGATGAAGATGCCTTGGACCTACAATGGGAAGAAAGATGAGAACTTCCTGTAGTGGGAAGCGGCCATTAAAATTCATGTTCACGGTCGGAGGGTATCACTGACAGGATGAGTCATGTTCGCCGCTTCTTGTCTCGACGACGAGGCAACAAGTTACTCTAATTCTCTCATAGTGAATGCAGGGTGCGAGAGAGACATCGTTGAATACTCTTGCATCACCCGCTTAGAGGTCTAGCTAGAGGCCCTATACAAGCGTTTCGAAGATAAGACAAGGCGGAGGAGAACTGCACAAAAAAAATTGAATGTGCATAGGGGGAATTGGAAGAGTGTCACCGCCCTCAAGTCATACATGGACGACTTGTTGCAGGTCCCATACCACAGAGTGACACCTCAACAGGTCGTTGAGCATTTTACCATGGCCCTGCCTGAGCTCCTTTGGTCCCAGATGTCCGCAAAGTTTGTTGTGGAAGGGGCCAACTATACTGATTTCAGTAAGCAATCGCTGGACAGATGAGGAGTCCTGGCGCAGACAGACTATTACTATAAAGATATTGAGAGAGGAAAGCAGGTGAAGGGCACGACGATCTCTAGCGATGTGCATGCCGGAGATAGACTCTTGGTGACGCTCGAAGGAGGAGGAGAGAAAAGAATTCCCCTCGCACAAGTGGACTACGGATACCTCGAGTATGAACAACATTTTAAGGGAGGTCAAGTAGTTGTAGGAGGCGGCTATGCTACCGTAGCAGCCCACTGGGTAGGGCGAAGAGGAGGTCGAGGAAGAGGAGGCCGAGGCGGAAGAGGTGGGGGCCAGGGACAGTCTGCTCAAGGGTTTGGAGGCTGTGGGGGCTTCCAAGCGGGTGGTAGGGGCTATGGTACCCCGTACAGAGGTCAAGCATCCCCCGCTTGCCAACAAGAGGAAGGAGCAACTATGCCCTCTTCAACAATAGTGGTCCGGAGTATAAAGTGCAGTGTAGGTACCCTCGGCATTCGGGGGTCAAGACAGACAACCCTGGGTTGCCATGAAAATGTAGGAAGCGGTCTGGTGTCAAAGGATGAAAGACAGGCAATGCCTGCAGTGCGGAGACCCCAACCACAACATTCGCTTTTGTCTGGATGTACGCAGGCCGTCAAACGGGAATGGCGAGTAGGAGTCATTGTTGATCCTACTGGGGCCTCAGACTTCGAGAGACAGGAAGAAGCGCGCGTTGAAGAAGATACCTCATGTTTGAGGGCCCCAATGGCAAAGGCTGATGTTGGCCCCCACCTAGTCGACTGTCCAAAGGCCGCTTGTGTGAGGGTCCCTCTAGGTGGTTCCCTCACAGTCATTGGTGACCAACTGTGCCGCCAAGCCTGGGCCGAGATGAAGAAGAAATCAAAAGGGCAGTTAATCTTAGTAGATGTAGAGGTTAGTAGGACTAAAATATGCGCGTTAGTGGACAATGGATCGACGCGTAGTTATATTAGTAGGAAGGGATTAAAGAAATTTCATTACGAATGAAAGTGCAGAAGCTGGAGGAGTTGGTCATCAGCAAACTAGCAGACAATCAAAAGATCAGAGTGGATGAGTTTGTTGAGGGGGTTAAGGCATACTTTCGGTTGGAGGGGGAGAATAAGAAGAGTGAAGGTACTGCATTCTCTGACCCTTCTAGTGGAGGATATGTTGTTAGGGATGGATTGGGGGAAGGCCGCACGGGCCAATGTGAAGATGGGTGAGCAGGAGTGCTGGCTGCCCAGTCCCCAAGGTGGGAAAAAGAAAGTCTGACTCTTTCATGAGTCCAGAGTCCAGTTCGCCCTGTTCTTGTCTTGCATGAGTCCGCCCGCGTTCGCTAGGCATGTGGTCAAGCAGGATCTTGCTGACCAAGTCTTTGTTGGAAGGAGGAGGAAGTTGTACCGCCCTAAGTTCAGAATCTGCTGATGGAATTCGCAGATGTGGAGGAAACCCCAACTAGCGTAGTTGAGAGGGAGATCGGACACCGAATAGAGATTGAACCTAGTAGCAAAGATTCCGAGGGACCTTGTTTATAAAATGTTTCCCAAAACATTGGATGAGTTGAGGAAACAACTGGATGAACTGATTGAGGAGTGGATTAAGCCCAGTTCCTCGCCCTACGGGGCACCTATCCTCTTTGTGTCTAAGAAAGAGGGTGAATTGTGCATGTGCATCGACTATAGAGGTTTTAATGCTATCATTGTTAAGAATGTTGAGCCGCTACCCAGAATTGATGACTTGCTGGATTGGGTGCAGGGTTGCAGTTATTTGTCTAAGATTGACATGAAATCGGGGTACCACCAGATAGTACATCTCAAAGGTCACCACAAGACGGCATTGAGGACTAGATATGGCCACTATGAGTTGTGGTGATGCCATTTGGATTAACCAATGCCTCTCCAATGTTCCAAAGCTTTGTGAAGCTAAGTTCAAGTTGAATCCCAAAAAGCGTGAATGGGAAAAACATCAGGTCTTGTACCTAGGCGGCTAGACCATGTCGTAGATAGAGACGACGTTAGACCGGAGGATGCAAAGATTGCAGCAATTAGAGACTGACCAACCCCGCACACATTGACTGAATTGCGGTCGTTCCTTGGCTTGGCTAACCACTACCGAAAATTTGTGAGGAACTTCACTGCTATAGCAGCACCGTTACGCAGATTGTTGTAGAAAGAGGCTCTTTGGAAGTGGGACAAAGACTGCGAGTTCGCTTTCAAGAAGTTGAATAAGTGCTTGATTGAGTATCCGGTCCTTAAGATCGCTGATCCGTCGCTCCCGTTTGTTGTGGCTACAGATGCGAGCCAGTACGGCATAGGTGCAGTCCTACAGCAGAATGATGGCAATGGATAGTGGCTAGTGGAGTTCATGTCGTGTAGGCTGCCATGTGAGAAGGTTACCGCATCAACCTACGACGCGGAACTGTTTGCCTTGAGAGAGGCGTTAGCCCATTGGAGACACTATTTGCTGGGATGACATTTCAAGGTCTATTATGATCATGAGACCTTGTGTTGGCTGAAGGCTCAGGCCTGGATGTCTACTAAGTTAGCGTGATGGGCCACCGAGATCTTTGAGTTCAATTTCGAACTCAAGCCTGTGAAAGGCAAGTACAGTGTGTTTGTTGATGCACTCAGCCGACTTGCAGATTTCTTTGGAGCCACAATCACCTATCTAGACGCAGGTGTCGAACTGCAGCAAAGGATAAGAAAAGCCTATGCAGGAGATCAAATCTATACTGAGCTTATCCGTGGGGTACAAGTAGCCATCCATGAAGAACCTAACTATAGGATAGCCTACGACCTGCTGTTTGAGAAGACTGATAGGGAGGACAGGCTATTCGTGTCGAACAACGAAGAGATTCGTGTTCTGATACTAGGGGAAATCCATGATTCGGAAGGACACTTTGGTTGGAGGAAGACGTATGCTAACCTCCTTAGATCCTACACGTGGACAGGCATGAAACAGGACTGTATCCTGTACATTCGGGCCTGCAAAGTGTGGCAGTGGAACAAGAGTTCCACGCAGCCGCCCCTAGGACTGTTGAAACCGCTCCCTTTACCGCCGGGAGTACTGCTAATCTCTTTCTGTCGCTGCAGTATGTGTCTTCTTGATCAGACATGCACACAAACAACCTGTGTGATTATGCATGTGGCAAAATCTCCTTTTGTTGGCTTCAAAAGGATACCCTAGAGTTAGGAGATGTAAGCTGAGGAGGTCCTCCCTAGCGATAGACCTCCTCAATTTAATCTCCTAACGCCCAGTGACTGCTTCCCTAGCGATAGACCTCCTCAACTACTTGTGGGTATGTTGTGGCTTCGATAGGACACCTTAGAGTTTTGGAGGCAAATGGAAGCAGTCGCTGGGTGTTAGGAGATGTAAATTGAGGAGGTCTATCGCTAGGGAGGAGGTTGCTGGTGTCTGTGGGTATGAGGGCGAGCGGAAGTAGATAGTTAGGGAGGACTCTTGTTGTGCTGTCAATAAATGGGAGTAGTAGGCGGGCCCATAGAGTAGTGGAGAGTTATCAAACTAGATGCCCTAGAAACGGCACACAGTGCCACACAGTGCGCTGGTTTAGCGAAATGGTTGAACGGGAAAGCTGAAGGAGAAAGGACATCTGCCATTTTCAATTTGAGAGGTCTGTTTTGTTCTCATTTTAAGAATCGGAGAAAGAAGTGTGGGAGAAAAGGGTACAGAAGTTGGGCTGTCAGTTCAGACACTATGCAACGAGGGAGGGAGGGACGGAGAGAGGGAGAGCTCTGGAACCTCCAGCTTCCACGGGATTTGGATGTGGCTTTTGTGGGGCTAGGCCAGGTAACGAGATGAAAGGGTGAGTTGGCGGTGCGGAAGGAGGGACTCTTCGAGCTTCTGTGGCTTCTGGGTTTTTATTTTGGGATAAGACCAAGGCAGGTGTTAGTTGAGGAGGGAAATGACAGGGATGGATGGATGAATGGATGGATGAATGGATGGATGGATTTACGAGTTCAGCAATATCAGGCAGAAATGTGTACCATTTTCGTCAACAGTACAAAATGCATGGCTGTAATCGAGCGTGCCGATTGCCTTCTGCCATAGAAGTGTACCATTGGTCGTGTAGGCAAAGAGATAACCGGGTGCAGCTGTTGCGACATACACTCGCCCATTGTTGCCTGTGATAACTCCAGCTATTGTTGATGGGCCAGGAAGCTGTAGATCTGTGCGCCACCGCAGACTGGGACGGTGGCCATGAACGGCGTAGAGAAATCCATCCAGGTTGCAAAGCTGCAAGCAACATGTCACAGGCACTCTCATGTCATGTCATGCCTTGTCATCTCAAAGCAACACATACACACACAAAGTCCGGTGCAGTCATTCTTTTTTTGAGTTTATGGTGCATATGACAACACGAGTCGGTGAAAGTCCCACACAACAGTCTGGCATAGTCATGCTTTTTCTGAGTGCATAGCAAATATGACCACACACACACACACACACACACACACACACACACACGCACATTCACGGACACATGACGGTTGGAGTGAGTAAAGCAAGACCACCTTTCTCAGGGGTATCACTAACTCTGGGGCGACACGGTAACTCCTTATCCATTACTGTCTTCCCCCGAACACAGCGCACCCTCATTTTGACTGTATCGGGCTGGAAAGATATCTTGTATATGTTCATTTCAAGGTGCGTTATGTTCGGGGCAAGACAGTAGTCAGATGCATCCTGGGCAGACTGTCGTGGTTCAAACTCCTGATGAGTCGGTGAAAGTCCGGTCTGGCACAGTCATGCTTTTTCTTCTTATGGATTTTTGTACGGTGAACATGACAACACACGATAACACACATGACGACATACAGACACAATTGTAGACACGCGCACACCCAAAGGTGCACATGAGCTTGCACACTCACCAGCAAACTTGACTTGTGTCTGACAGAACAGAGATGATTTGATCATAAAACTCAGCGTTCGTATACCTTTGCTCGTGTAGTGGGCAATGATGGTATGCTGAAGATGTACTCCCGGGCAAGATGGGTGCAAAGCCTTTTTTTCCTTGTTACGATCCTGGCCAATTTCGAAGTATACAATCATCAGAAAGTACAATGCCGTCCAATTGCAAAAAGAAATGAATGAACTTGAGAGGAGAGAGAGGGAAAGAAGAAGAAGAAAGAAAGAAGAAAAAGAAGATGATGTACTTCAGCATAGACCAAAGATAATGATCTTCTTCTCCGCCAAACAATCTCCTCCTCCTTGTCTCCTCCCCTCTTATTCAAACAAGCAACAACAATAATGATGTTGAATGGCTGAACCAGAATCAATGTCCGAATCCCTCTTCTACTGCAGACACAACATGAGGTCCACCATAGCCATGGCCACAATTCTCCTTCCTCTCACATGTAGGCCAAGGCTATGGCGAACTACTGAGGGATCAACCCTCCTGTCCAAAGGACAACCCAAAGCAGCTATGTCGCCGCCTTCCTGTGCAAAGGACAACGCAAAGCAGCTATGCCGCGGCTCATTAGGCCGTCACGCCTGTCTCTGCCCCGAGCTTCCTTGGTGCGGCACTACCCCAACTGGGGCCTTCCAGATGCAGCGCCTAACAAGGTGATGAAGATGGTGTCCACCATAGCCAGGTAGGTACCTCGCCACTCTCCTCCTTGGTCCTCTTCTCCCTCCTCCTCCTACCGGTAGAGCTCCACCGTAGCCAAGGTGGAAGCTACCGGCTTCTTCCTCCCAGCAGCGCTGTAGTAGCCAGCGCTCCTCCAGCCAGCACTCCAGCAGTGTGTCGCCAAACTTGCACACTGAAGAATGAGATTGGGCTCTTCCCCTGGCCTCTTGAAATAGCGGCCTACTTGCCTCCTGGCGGTGACTTCCAGGCCGTTCGGCCTCCCAAGCAACCGGTACCTCCTCCCTTTCGGAGGGAAACATCATTGCAGACTCTGATATTGCCCGTACAGGCTCTAGACTCAGGCTGGATGGACTGGTACCGGCCTAGACCTAGCCTACCGCTACTGGGCCTCTAAAAGTGCCAACTTTGTCTTCTTCTGCTCGGCCTCGAGTACCCGGCACATCTACTGCTACTGGGTGCGGTACCGACCTACCTGCTACTTGAGTGTTTTTCAGCTGCTCTAATTGCCGTGGACCTCTGGCTCCGCCACTTGAGTGTTTTCCCCTGCTGCAACCCTCAATGCCACGGCCACAGGTAAGTACCGGCCCTACGGGCCTGCCAAACAAGCAAGTACCCTTGCGGGTCACATACACACTCATGCCGACAAGCACTCAGACAGGCATGCAGGTCATCAAGCACGCTCACACACAGACTTAGAAAACCCAGCAGAATGCGGGAATCTCAGCAAGGCATTCATTCCATTGGCAGAACTCAGAAATCATCAGTGTTCTCAGTCCATGTTATGGCGGGTCATTACATCCTCCCTTTTTTTAATTGTCTTAGATGCATGCAAAGCCTGTACCATGTGCGCACCCCTGGGAGCCCTGGCCGTCTACATTCCTCAGGGCCTCCATCTATTTATACATTCTGCAAGAGCTCATCCCTAACCCCCACACTGGCCAAGTTATTAACTGATAATAGCGAGGATATAACAATGGAAGTCATAGTAGTAGTCTTGTGTATACAGCCCCATTTGGGATTTGAACCCGTATGCTGCCCGCTCAAAGATGGCACATCACAGCTTATGAGAGCAGAGCTGCATCCTTTACAAATTTCGAGCCAAGGATGTCGTATTTGTTATTGAATTTATTGAATTTCATTTTCGAAGGAAAAACTTCCAAAAAAGTTCAAGAAACTGTATGTGGGTTGTAAGAACCTGTGTGTTGGCCTTAGACACTGCTGTTATAAGGTTGGGGGTGGGGGACAATGAAAAGGGAGGTGCAGCTACGGGCGAAATGCTCGGTCTTTGCGTTAGCCGGACCGCCACCGGCGGCCCCACCCCATCCATGACCACCACGGTTGTGTGTGGGTGGG